TTTGTACCATCGGCTTCCAGTCCTCTTCCAAAGCTCCAGTGCATAGGCCAACACCTCCCCCATGATAACTTCCCGCTTGAGCCCCAGATCAACGAAACTGTGCCAGAAGAAATCGGCTTGTTCCCCGACTACCGGCAGGTCGACACCGTCCACTCGGTCCGTCAAAGCCACCCAGATATCCAATGTTCCTCTATCTCCATAGTGTCGCTGCCGATAGCGAAGCAGCTGCTCCCAAAGATCCAGCCTCTGTCGGTAGACCGGATCGTCGACAAGGCGAGTACCGATGTCCTGGGTGTGGCCGATATCCGATTCGAAGTCTAGCTTGTCGGGCTGTAGATCAAATCGCAACGAGGTGTCTTCGTCGGCCACCGAGGATTCAAGAGTGTTATCTTGTCGCATTGTACAGTCCTGTCTTGTATTCCGAGGTGACTGTATGTCATACACATGAAAGCTGAAGGGGCGCGAGGACGACGATTGATTCAAACGCGTATGAGTTTCGTTGCTGCTGGGTTCCCCGACCTCGCATCGCCGAACGCCCGCATTTTGGTGCGCCTTCCGCAAACTGCATTGTAAACATTTATTTTTGGACTCCAGTTGCTCGATGCCGATGGACTTCGATACTAGAGAGTCGAGAACCGAAACGGCGGACGGTCTCTTCAATAATCGAAGGAGAGCCGGGCGCATGAGTCCTGAGAATGGAAAGGTAAGGTGATAGAGCGGCGGCCTCTGGGCATCCTCCTCATCGGTAGTTCAAGAATCGACAGATAGAGACCATTGAGAATGAAGCGACAAGTAAATGAATGGCTCCAATCGTTTCGCATAGAGCTCTCAACTTTACACTGACAGATACTTCTTTTGGAATAATCGTGATAGAGAGAATACAAGTCATGTGACTATTACTAAGCACTTAATCCGAATTGGCGGAAGAACGAGGAAAGTCACCTGAGGCTTGACTTGCAGCTCCAAATCCGGATGCACACTTCACGGCATCGACTGATCATTGTTGCTGGTATTCTTTCTCCAACCAAACTTGTCTACCTCCTTTAGAAGCTGCGATATAGCATCTACATACCGTCAAGATGTTCCGCACTGTTCCCCGCATGGCTGGGTACGTTCCTTCTGATTCAATTCCTACTCAACCGGTAGCATCTTCTCGACTCGGGTGGGATGATCGCCTATGACCGTCCGATTCCTGTCGGCAATCTGCAATCTTCCTCGTCAGAATACTCAATTGCGCTCATGTTTTACTAACTCCCTTTTCCTGGGATCCCTAGATTCGTGTTCCGCGAGAACCGTGTTCCTTACTACCAGCGTCTCTTCCAGCAGCACGATGGCAAGCGTCAGTGGTGGAAGGTCAGTTGGTCCGCGGGTTGAACATAACAGTGGAATGACTGTGTTTTGCTGACTGGTACTTTCTTCCTTGAAGACTGAGCGTAGCAAGTACCTCATGTACCCCTACCTCCTCTCCGTTTACGGTTTGGGCATTGGTGAGTTCTGCCGCGGTCTGAAGGAGTCATTAGTAGCTAACTCACTTTAGCCACCACCTATGCCATGGGTCGTATGGTCCTTGTTAGTATCCCTCGCCCGTTACGATGTCCCTGGAGCCAGTTATCCTCGCGGCTTGGGCGCGTTCGTGGACTGACATTCAAATAGGGCCACAAGACCTGGTTCGGCAAGAACTAGATAAACCTTCGCCAATTTCCGATGAAACACATGGACTAGCGTCTCCTGGATCCATTAGCGGTGTATTTCTATTTCGACAGACGTGCTGGTTTGAGAGGAAATATCACGACGTTGTATATAAGGTCAGCCAGAGTATCAATGGAAGAGTTGATCAATCTGTTCAAATGATTCGTCGAATTATTCCAACGGTTGAGCTATGACAAGACGGTCTTATGTACTGAATGCCATTGGATATCGCTTCATCAATCTTACAGAAAGAAGTCCTTGGAACAGGTGCTCGCCATTCCCGTTTTCCATACTCCGAGATGCCCATCTGCTAAACACCTTTCATGTATTGCACGCTTACTAGTAAATGTGAGACTCCAAACTTTGTAGCCCTATATGATTGAGCCCCCATCTCGATATCTCCCAGCCATGTTGCTCGTTCCTGTGATATCGTCAAGGTGGGATTAGTAATCAGCCGAACGGATATGGGATACAACCCAAGTATCCGCTTCGAACATTAACAATAATGCCTTGACTCTCAATGTGATCAAATAGGCGATTGATGAAATACTTAAGAGGGGCATGCGACACAAGGTACCGTTGTACACGGATAATTGAAAAGTCTCACTTTTGTGCGAAAGAATGCCACAGAGCGCTTCTGTAGGCAATTCATACGAGATTTCGAGAATGGTCTGTCTACTGACACGGTGAACACAACGTACATCCGGTCAACTCCAAATTCTAACCCGGTCTGCTCTGAGATGAACCGAACATCTATTGAGCGACCAAGCAAACGCGTACGGCAAGCATGCGAACCATGCAGGTAAACCAGACCATCTTTCTTCGAGACTCGGCATGCTGGCTCACCATTCCATAGGCGCAAAAAGGCAAAATGTCCTGGTGAGCAGCCGGTCTGCTCGCTCTGCGCACGATTGCGCCAGAGATGCGCGTACGCTGGAGAAAGACGCAGGTCACTGCCGCGTGCAACTCCAGACGGATCACCCTCCGTCACCGCTTTTACTGCCGCTGATGCCACTGAAGTGCGAATTACTCGAACATTGGTGAGCTCGCTTTTCTGTACGAATCCGCCTTGTTCTTTTTCGTTGACTGTGTCTCAGGAGGATCGTCTCGGGAGCCTGGAGGCGAAGATGGGTAAAGTTCTTGATGCTCTAGAGTACTGCGATTCCTACACTTGTCTGAGACCCGATCAGTGACTGATGATTCCAATTAGACGGAATAGCTCTAGAGCCGAACAGCAGAGGACAGACGACTCATCTCTTCGGCCAAATACTCTGAGCGGCCCTATCACCTCATCGATGATCAGTACCATTACTCCACTTCCGACCTGGGAGAAAGTGCTCGCTGTGGCAGAATTATATCTCTTATATTGCGAGTCCCAGCCACTTCCTCTTTTCCACAGAGACAGTTTCCTTAGCAGTCTCAGCACTCGCGACCCTGAAATCCTCTACGCTATACTCGCATTGAGTATACGATTCTCTGACGAAGTCTGCCAGGAGTTGAATGATCTTGCAACTCTTGTGAGCGGCTACACAGAGGTAGCCAGAGGACTGGTCATGAGGAGAGTTTCCGAGGGCCCGGTTGAATTATCTACCCTACAGTGTCTCTGCCTTCTAAGCTTGATCGACTTTACAAGTAAGTCTAGTCATTAGTCAACGGCATTCGAGTCTAACCCCGTTCAGACGGCAACACACATCGCTCGACCATTCACAGTAGCCTTGCAATGAACTTGGCTCAATGCGCCAATCTGGGCTCCGAAATGCACACTACATTGTCCGCGGTGGTCCGCGAAGAGCGGCGACGCTGCTTCTGGAGCATCTGCCTTTTAAAGCGCTTTCATGGTGTCGAATTTGACAGCATGGGGTTCCCTGATGGAAGTTTTCCCCCGTTCCCACAAAGCCCTGAGCGCCCTCATTCGCCCTTTTCACCGAGCAGTCCAACCGATGAGCCTCGGTCTACTGGTATGGAAGACCAGGGAATCATTGCATATGTGATCATTCTAAGCGAGGTTTTCGCCAAAACCACGAAATACGTTCGTCGCCACGGCCGGCCGAGCAGTGTCCCACCGTGGTCCTCGCAATCAGAGTACTCCAAAATTATCACGCTGCAAATGGACCTGGAAACACGCATGCCTTACATCCATCGCTTCAAGCCGGCCAATCTCAACGAGAGGACCACCGAGGAGCTTCAAGCCAACCGAGGATACTGGGGTCCGTGGTTCCTGAATCAATTTCTCTATCATACAAACCTCTGTCTCCTCAATCATCCGCTTCTCCTGTCTCTGAGCCTGAGGAACTTCCGGAACTCCATTCCAGAGATATTCTTGCAACACACTTCGGACCTTATCTCTTCACATACCACCTGGATCATTCATTTCATAAACTACTTTGAAGAGAAGAACTTCATCGTGTCAGATCCACTACTAGGGTACAGCGCGGCTGTGGTTGCGACCATCGAACTGCAGTTAAGTTTTACTGAAGATAAAACCATCCGAGAAGAGAAGCGCGATCGCTTTTATAGATGTGTCAAGTTCGTGGAAACCATTGGGCAAAGGTGGCCTCACATGGCGCAATTGGTCAGCGATACTCTCCTATCCTACTAAATATGAGTTGACTAACAATGCTACTCATCTTACAGGCGGATAAATTACAACGATTGGAAGGCGCCGTTTCAGCCTCTTATCAACCTGAGCCACGGGCTCAGAATAAGAGCCTACTGATAGACCTGTCACGATTTTGGGAAATCCTCGAATACTCGTTTAACAGGGATACGGGCTCTGCTCGTCGCTTGTTCGGCGATTCGTTATACAGTGAACCCCCAACCATTGACATGGAAGTATCGCAGACGTCTCCTCTACCCGAACCCACTCGCCTGAATTCACACTCTGAACAATCACATCCAGGGTCACGAATGTCTGAATATGGCTTTCAACTTGCTCTGCCGGTTGAGTCACACTATGCCATGGGCTCAACAATTTCTCCGCGCCACCCAGATTTCTTCAACGATGAGTTATCTATCTTGGCCACAAACTTCTTTTCCCAGGGACAAGAGTTCTTGCGTGGCAGCGATAGCAGAGAAGGGATTGGTAACTTCTAATTTATCCTGCTGGCGAAACTCATCTGTATACATACATACAAGTGTCTTCTACGTCAGAACAGAACCCAACTTCTACCGAATCTAAAACACCTAACCATATTGAACCCTTCGAATGCGAAACAGATCATCCCAATATCTCATTGCACCATGCAAGATCACCCTCAATCTGAGAAGCATCATTGGGAGAGCCGTTGTTAGCACTGTGATCAATGAGATCCTTAGTTCGATCCTTTAAACGTGCCTGGAAGGACGCCATATTGTTTGAAGTATCTCCATCCGCGAAAACAGATGAAAGTGAGAAAGCCGACGAGTCCACTGTAACAGCTCAATAATCAGCGCTTCTACTTGGAAATACGACTCCATTAAGCATTGATGATCACGACACCTCTGATAGAGACTCACGTACCACAAAATTATGCTTATCGTAGCGACAATGCCACCGAGAGCACCGCTGCTCGGACTGTGTGCGCCGACCGTTCCCAGGATGGTGATGATGAAGAGAGCAAACCAGAAAACGGTATCGATAAGGTTGAGGATCATGTACGCCTTCTCACTTGCCCAGCGCTTGAACCGCTCTATATGAGCCGTGACAACTTAGTAAGCCAAGAAGATGGCAGCCTTGAGACACTGAAGAGCTCGACGTCTCGGGTCAGCTTTGAGCTGCATCTCGCTATCCCCGGCCTCGATCACTCCACAGAAGAAATTCAGTCACACTCACCACGACAATACCCCAGGTGTTTGACCTGGTCTTGGGCGTACCCTTATTCGCTATGCGTGCAATGATGAGGACGAAGTTCAGGAAAAGTAACACGCCAACAATGATATGGAGGCGCAGCTTGATCTTAAGGTGGTTCTCAAAAGCGAGGTTCATTCTGACTTATGCGAGTGTTGGATCTGGTAGAGTCGGCGGTCCCCGATATTTATGCAAATAGCTTACTCAATGGAGGTAGGATACCAGTGGATCTCGCTTTGGCCATTGCAGATGCTTTATGAATTGACCGTCATAAGTATTCGATTCCATTGACTGATGCCTAACAATGCAAATAGTATTGATGGCACAGGATGGAGCCTGCCTTGCGCTGAGCAATTGTCCCAACAACGCAATGATTTGCAGTTATCTGGTGGCAGCTGATAAAAACAGTCGCTACCCAAGCAATAAGACTACCTTTCTTTCTTTCTTGTCCAATCCGTGGAACATCGTACCAGCCGTCATTTGAGGAGGTTGCATGGTCAAGCCTCGCATTCGTATGGGTTACCCGATCAGGGTTCGCATACGGTGGCGGAGGGCAAGATTGATGAGGATAATGCCGTTCCAAAAGGCCTCCTGGCTAGTCCATGCAGTGCCAGGAAATCATGCTGGCGAAGGATTATACTCATCGGTAGCAAACTAGATATCAAATGTTATACGCGTTCTGTCCACGACTGGGGGTCAATTACGTTGACACGATAGCAATGAGTATATCTAAAAGAAAAGGAGTCTAAATTTGCAATCTTCAGTCAGAAGAGCGAAATCTGCCGACACTGAAGGAGAGGCATATTTTGTATTGTCGCCGATGGTCACATTTCCATCCATATTTGGGCATCGAAACGAATACGACCCAACCCACCAGGCTTCAGAGACCTTATCCCGTTTCCACCTCGAGGCGACGACAGAAAATGGCTCGAAAACAACGAAGTGTCCGTTTTAGAACGGCTGAGTCGCAAATTGAACACAAAAATTCGTCATTTGAAGGCCAGACATAAATACGGGGTTGGAGCCACCTTACGATATTTCTATACGAGTGGCACGATTCATTGAAACGGACAGCTGCTAAATAGTCATCCTGGGTATTCTTCTATCCTCATTTTTCTTGCGGAATTCGGCATAGGAATTCGCCATATGAATACAGATCAACGATGGAGTAACCGAAAATCTTCTCACGTTACACTTGAGCCTTGAACATGACGACTCTGCAAAATTCATTCTTCCAGAGCTGCCTTGAGTTGCTGAACGAACATCCAGATCTCAGTGAAAGTGTTGTACAATGGAACAGGTGCGACGCGGACAACGCCTGGTTCTCTCTTGTCGCAAATAATCCCTGCTTCCTGCAGTCGATGAGCTACCTTGTTCAATAGCCCAGGCTTAAGCAGAAGACTGAGCTGAGCACCTCGAGCGGCAGGCTCGGAAGGTGTGATAATTTCGAATTGCCGCGGCTCGTCCGTGGTGTCCTTTAACAGCAGGTGCTCGAGGTACGCCGTCATCAAGACAGATTTCTTGCGTAGCTCAGTCATGGAGGTCTCATCAAACACCGACAGAGCAGCGCACAAGCATGCAAGATCGATCGCCGACGGGTTCGAAATCTGGTAACCACCCGCGCCAGGGATGGGTCTGAACTCTGCTCTGACATTAGAACTGAATAGGGTCAAGTCACCTGCACGGAAAACAAGAACTCACTATTGTCCATCTTGAATCTCACTGATTTATCGCCTCCATACCACCCCGTCAGACGGTGTCGGAACTGTGGCGAATCCTCTCCTTCGCTGTAGTCGACTTGACCATGTTTCTCATGGACGAAGAGACCTGCCATTGCCCCAGGGCCAGCGTTGCCGTATTTGTAAGTGCACCAAGCTGCGAAATCGACGTCCCAGTCGTGTAGCTTTAGTTGGACATTGGCGTAGGCATGAGCCAGATCCCATCCGACAATAAGTCCTCGTGAGTGCGCATATTCGGTGATCTTCGGGATGTCGAATAACTGTCCAGTGTAGTACTGGATTCCCGGAAGCAGGACGAGAGCTGCCTCGTCTGCATGCTGATCAATGTAAGACAAGATTTTCTCCGTTGGGATTTCATATTTTCCCTCATCTGGACCGATGAGCACCATGGTCTCCTGAGGATCTAGACCATGCCAGGCAACATGTGATTCGATAGCATACTGGTGACAGGTTAGCAAAACTCACGCGGGTATGGCGACGCTGTCAAACTCACATGATCGCTGGGAAACGCCTTCCAGTCCATCAGGATCTTATGTTTGGTTGCAGTTGGCTTGTAGAAGCTTGCGAGCAACAAGTGCAGATTCATTGTTAATGTACCCATTGCTGCGACTTCTTCGGGCGCCGCTCCCACGATCTTCGACATGGACTCGGCAGCCTGCTCAGCCAGATTCTGCCACTCCTTTAATGGGGAGTCTTCGACCTTGGTGAAGTGACCACAGACGCCAATCGATGACCATGTGTCCAATTGCGCCTCCAAATACTTCTGGGTGGCTGTGGGCTGAATACCAAGGGAATTGCCACAGAAGTAGATACATGGTTCTGATGAAAGGCCTGAAGAAGATTCGTCAGCGAGGATGAGCGGTTATTTGGGGTATAATCCTACTTACCAGGCTTCGCCAGTTTGGTAGAGGCGATGTTTGCCTTTGATGGGATGATGAATTTATCTCGAAAGCCTGCGAGCGGGTCTGCAGCGTCCAGAGAGGCCGCATACTCCTTGCTTGCCGCATTGGCAGGGAACTCAGGCTTGGATAGTGTGCCGTTGGTAGACATGATGGATGATGGCACCAGTGCTGTTGGTGTGAAATCACAGCAAGAGGATTGTGATTGTGACAGCTTGTCCGACACTCCTTGCTTTATACGTGCTCTCGAGGTGATTCCATCGACCCCGGCGGAAGCGGGAGGCTTATCCGCTTCCGCCTCGGAATCCGTGCTCATGGAAGGAATGATTGTCAAAGTGATACCCGCAATATTGGTTTTCACGATTATTGGTATGTTGATTTGATCTCACAAGTGGTCCATGTCCCCATTCTTCGGATATCACATTACCTCCTTACTGTTTCCTGTGCTCATGCCACCAATTTATCGTTCCGGGTTGGATCCGGCCCTCTTCCGCCCAACCAGTTCCTTCCCATATATTCTGGCTTCGACATGGACAGAGTGAATATTCCTATTTCTAAAGCTTATTACCAGAATCTCTGTCTATAAAGTCCCTTGCACAGTTGGCCACTCACTTCTCATACTGTCGAATAGACCCTCACCATGCTTAACACACCGGAAATCGTGCTTGACCAGTTCTGCGTTTCTCTTCGAAATGGGTTTCTTCCCGACACCCTTCCTCTGCAGAAACTGAACGATCCATACTACTCTCCGTGGGAGGAAGTTGTCGCTGATCTACCAGCTCGGCTCTCAGCGGGAAATGTACGGCAAGCGGTTGACAGTCTTCCTATCCTCTCAACTTCCAGGCTGCAGGAAGAAACAGAATGGCGGCGAGCATATGTTGTGCTTGCTTTTATCACTCATGCCTATATTTGGGGAGGTGAACGGCCAAAAGACGTATGCGTCCTTTGTCATTGTATGATTGCAGCTTCTCATGGCTCTCTAGGTTCTCCCACCTGCAGTGTCGTGCCCCATCCTGGAGGTCTCAAAGCATTTAGAGCTGCCACCATGTGCTACCTATGCCGCTTTGAACCTCTGGAACTTCAAAGTCTCCTCCCCTGATATTGACCTCACTGACCCGGAAAACTTGTCTATCATCACAACATTCACCGCTACCAAGGACGAAGAATGGTTCTTTATGATCTCTGTTGCTATCGAAGCCAAAGGAGCGGATTTAATTACCCTGATGCTCAACGCCATATATGCAGCCAATCTGGCTGACCATCAAAGAGTCACAACTTTACTTTATCAATTGAGAGATGGCCTGAAAGAGCTTGGTGAAATTCTGGAGAGGATGTATGAGAAGTGCAACCCCTCCGTCTTCTTCTATCATCTTCGCCCTTTCTTGGCTGGTAGCAAGAATATGGCCTCAGCTGGACTGCCGCAGGGTGTGTTCTACGATCTGGGAGGCCACGGAGAGTGGCATCAGTACAGCGGCGGAAGCAATGCGCAGAGCTCACTAATCCAAACATTCGATATCTTTTTGGGTGTGGAGCATTCAGCCACGGGAGAAGCGAAAGCGAACAGTACACCTCAGTCCAAGCCTAAGATTGGCTACATTCAGGTAAGCATCTACTTTCACTCGGGCTCCTCATTCAAACTCGAGCCAGCAACTAACTATCCTCGACGTAGGACATGCGAAACTACATGCCTGGTCCTCACCGACGTTTCCTGGAGATGATGATTCGAACCTCGAATGTGCGCCAATTCGCCATGAGCTACAAAGCAGATACAGAGGTCAGGAACGCATACAACGCGGCAGTCATGGCTGTTGGCGCATTCCGGGATAAGCATATTCGGATGGTCTCGCGATACATTATCACGCCTTCGAGGACAAAACCAACCCAAAATTCGTCTGCGCAGGTCAATCTGGCAACTGTGACAGCAGCGAAGCAAGTCGCACGTCCGAATGACACTCCAGCAGGATACAGTGGTACAGGCGGAACCGACCTAATCCCATTCTTGAAACAGACTCGGGATACGACAAAAGCTGCGGCCAATTATACTGATTAAGATAGGATTTTCATCAGAGGCGAGTATTAATGAGTAGAGAGTAGATATTCCTACTTCTTTTTAGAGCACAGAGAAAGGCGTTAGGGTCTGTACATAAATCACTTCATCTTTATTCATTTGAATGAGAACTCAGCTATACTACCTACCCGTCGCATATCATACATGTAGTTAAACCTGGCCCAACACATATTCGCAAATATGTCATGACGAATAACTTTCTTTGACATTCTATCATATCCATAACATCCAAACAGCCGGCTCAAAGCGGTTAAGGGTGGATACTGGACCATGCGTCCGGAAGCGGATACGGAAGCGGAAACCCAATCAAAGATCCGCGTGACTATTTAATAATATGCAAGGGGAAGTAATATGATCAGTTAAAAATTTAGATTCAGCTTCAAGGCGGCCCTACGATCTTCGCATAAATTTGAGACTGACATGAAGTGGGACAAATGTTTCATTGGTTGGCTACGAGACAGAAATCGTAACGATCAATGGTAGTACGTTGACGCGAGGAACATTTCTTGAGGATGTTCTTGCAAGCATGAGAATAATATCCTATCTGACATTGGGTACTATGCACCAGAAGGTCTTTGAAGACAATTTACAGGTGTTGACTCCCCCGAATCGTCGTGATTGCCCCACCATCCCATGCCAACTCATTCGTAAAGCCCAATTGCGTTGAAAGTAGCGAACCATGAGACAATGATTAGACCGACGCGTATGTGCCGACCTTAAGCCTTCAATTGGGCCTATGACTGCATACTCATGTAAGGTATTCATCTGTCGGGACGCTGGGTGGACGGAGGCGGAGGAGACGGTGGCAGAAGACCGACTTCTTCCTGGGCACGAAGAGCATGCAGTGAGCATGTCGCAGAGGTCTCGTAGCTAGTGGATAGATTGGGATGCGTGATGGCCTAAGAATCGAAGCAAGCATCTGTTTTAGTAGCTATCCGGCGGGCAAAGAACGATCATCTCTTCTTAGTGTTGGCAGGGATGCCTTCGCTTTCTCGCAGCTCGGCCAGCCTCTTTTCGCGTTCGATCAGCCGCTCCCTTTCTTCCTTGATCATTTGCTCAACCGTCTTGTTGGCCGCTTCTAAACGATCCAGCTCCTTATTCTCAGTCGTCCTGCTGTAGGGGTTCTCCGCGGTTTCATTCTGAGGTATTTCGGCGGTCCGACCTCCACGCTGCTGCGCAGATTGTTTTGTATTCTTCCCTCCCTTGCCCTTCTGCGTTTGCTGGGAGGCAGGTCCGCCTGTGAGGAGGTCGTAGAACGGTTCCATAGGCTCGTTAAATACGATCTCCTCGTAATTCTGGCTGATCACCACCTCTCTGCGCTCTTTCTTGACGTCCGCGCCGGGCCCGAATGGGTGTAGTTTCAAACTATGCCATAGTGTCTGTGGTTTCTCGCCGGACTCCGGCACGAAGTAGAGCTTGATTTGGATTTCGAATTCACCCCAGCCGGTCTCGGTCACCTCAAACGGTGGCTGCTCGATGGTGCGTACATTCTGCGCGTATGTCTCGTGTAGCTTGAACTGAACTTTCTTCAGCCAGTAGGAAATGTCTTCGTCATTGACTCCTTTCACAAATACGCGCCACTGGTGGGTGTGATCTGCTGGGACATGAGGGGGTTTCTTCTCAGGGTCGAATGGCCGCGCTTCGCTGCCAAATACTGGGAAGGGTTAGAAGCTGAAGCCCTACAAATTCAAGAGCATGGGCAAGTTGACATACCGAACGGTCTGAAAATCGAGACACCCTGCGATGAGCACTGGTCAGTATATTGCAACTGATCGAAGAGATCAACTTTGGCACGAACCCTGACGCGCTTGGTTCCAGTCGCTGAAGGCATCCTGCGTAATATTAACCCAAAGTATAATTGAAGATGCGGCAAATTTGATGGGTTTTATCGAGGCTGTTGGAACGTAGGCTTCTGGGTTTGATTATTCGGACCTGTGCCGTAAACTGCGTCCTTCAATCGGCACGTGACGTGCCGATAATCAATGATCGATGGCCGATGACGATAGTCGGAAGCAGGCGTTCCGTAGCTTTAGCTTACTCCAGCAATTTTATTGATGAACTTATGCGGCACATATGAAGGCCGATTTTTTCTACTGTTCATTTGATTTATTTCTAACAATTGCAAAACACCCAATCTCCTCATCAATTGTTTACCAAAATGGCTTCAAAACGAGTAGTAGTTGCCGGCGGAAACGGCTTCTTAGGTGGGTGATTCTTCCGCTCTTGAATAGTGTTATGCTAATGGCTGATCTCCAATCAGGATCGCGAATTTGCAAATCGGCAGCGAACAGAGGCTGGTCTGTCACATCTCTAAGGTATACTTTCACAACCCGAATTTCGGTCTTGGTGGCGCCTGCTGAGACGTCATAGTCGGTCTGGAGAACCTCGATGGGATACGGTTACCAGCTCACACGATCGGCCAACATGGGCCAATTCCGTTGAATGGGCTAAGGCAGATTTACTTAAGCCTGACACATACAAACCTTTCTTGCGCGATGCCGACGTTGTGGTCCATAGTATGGGCATCCTACTTGAAGCAGATTACAAAGGTGTGGTACGAGGGAAGGAGCCCGTTGTCAGTGGCCTACGGAGGGCTTTCAGCTCGTCGAAGCTGGGTAGCCAGAACCCTCTGACGAGGCGAGATGGAGAGCGGCTGGAACCTAAGGAGAGAGACGGACAGTTGACATATGAGATCATGAACAGGGATTCTGGTTCGTATAGGTTGGGACTATCAATTTGCTAAAGACACGGAGCTGACTGCGAACTGGAAACAACAGCCATTGCACTCGCGAAGGAGTCATCCAACGAACATGTTCCAACATTCGTATACATATCAGCCGCCTCGGGAGCACCAATGCTACCCAGTCGATATATCACGACGAAGCGAGAAGCTGAGACAACCATAGCGTCCGAACTGCCAGAGTTGCGAAGTATCTTCATCAGACCGCCCTTCATGTATGATTCAAGCAGAAAATTCACACTTCCGATAGCCTTGGGTGGTTTTGTTGCCTCCCAATTCAACGCTCTCTTGGGTGACAGGCTTCGGTTCCTCGGTGCGATGGTCGATAAGCCTTTCCAGGTGGATCTTGTGGGCGAAGCTGTAGTGGAAGCGATGGAGGACGAGTCCATTCGCGGTGCGGTAGGAACGAAGCAGATAGAAAATCTGGCAACCAAAGCGTGGAGAAAAAGCATGCTTTGAATCCAACATCTCATGTTTTCGCGATGGCCTTGGCAGGCCGCTGCCGATAGGTGGATGAGGTTAGGCACTTCACCGATTGGGATGTAATAAGGAGTGCTCTGTATATTAGACCTAAGCAGGTAGCACTGGATCAAATCATTGTACCACGTTCGAAACTGTCACGAATCTCCGTGGTGTACTAAAAGGCATTAGTCCCGTTCGTAAAGTTCGAAGTCTTCGTGAAGAGCCATACCTTATTGTAGAACCGTGCCAGCTTCTGGTTGAACTGTTTGTTCTTCTCGTTGATATATGTGACGTCGGGTTCTTCATCGCCACGGCGATCCCTGCGCTTCTTAAGTCGGACCTCTTCGGCCTTTCTCAAATCTGCGACCAATTTGTCGACTCCAGCTCGATCCGGCTTGTTCTCCGTAAATCCAATCGTATCTGCCGTCGAGTAGAAAGTACCGTTCTTGTCGACCGCAATCATCTCACCATCATTGGTTTCAACGATCTCCAAGTCACCATTTGCAGCTGCCTTCTCAATCGCAGCCAGCTTCTCCCTTTCATAGGCCCCCAGATCAGGCTGCATTTCGCGTAGTTGTCTTTTGTATACCTTCCGTGCATCCTGCGTGTAGTCCTGAAACGCAACATCGTCGCGGTGACGCTGCTTCTTCTCCATACGTCGATCCCATTTCTCGGATTCGTCGACGGTCCAATCCCAGGCTCTCTTACGCTCGAAGTCTTCGCCGGCAGCCTCTGTATCTGCTTTGAGAAGGTTGTGAGATGCAAATGCGTGCTTGCGCGACAATGAAGAGAGCAATGCAGGATCAGTGGCTAGACGCTGGGTTTCGGCCGCCGTTTCTTTCAGGTTGCGCTCAGCTGCATTTTTCTATTTGAGCATCAGCATATACACGACTTTCAGAAGGCAAGCGAGAAGCTGAAATGGTGGATCATTGACGGTTGCGACCGGGTTACTCACAGCACGAGCTTGAAGGGCCTTGAATCTTTCTTGCCGCTGGCGAGCTTTTGCAGCTGCATCATCTTCTTTGCTCTCTGATTTTTCGGATGAGGTCATTTGTTGAGACTCTCCCGAAGCTGCTGGCTCAGCAGGAGATTCATCAGACTGAGTCTGGTTTGAAGCGGCGTTGTCGTCGGAAGGCTTGGCCGCAGACACTTCGTTAACGCCCTCAGAAGGCATAATCATGGCAGTCGCACAGGTCCTGCAGTGGTTCTCTTTGAAATATGCGTCAAACCTGGTACAAAATTATGTTGTAGACCTTCAAGACAATCTCAAATGCAGGCTAGGCGAGATGGACGGAAGCTGTATGCAGGATCAATGATGAAATTAAGTCCAACGACAGCGCTCAGGTATTCTTGACCACCAATCCTCTTACCGCCTTTAGAATAGCTTGTATTTTGCTCAGGCTTCAAACCTCCCCAACCATCGGTATTTTCAGGGTGATATTACAGGTTTATGATTCTCCTGGCAATGCACAGTGGCAGATGGCTTACTTTTTGTGTCGCCGAGTTGGCCATCCATTGAAGCATCTCAGCCTCCCACAACGCTACAGGTCGCAACAACAGTATCGTGCGGTATCGGCAATCAATAAAATAAACACCCCCAACCATAAACCTATTCCATCTCAGATTCTTCGGTATGCGTTGACGGGAACGACAAAACCGTTGCGACAAGATGTGTCAAAGCAGGACTTGGGCGACCATTTGAACGATGTGTTCTCAGGCGAATGGCCCCTGACTACTCTACCTCCACTCCGCCCAAAAGCCGCCCGCACCACTGATAGGGACGTGTTTTTCAAAGGTCTCAAGCGTGATGTGCGGAATCTTCGTCATCTACAGATCTTCATAGAAAGACACATCAATGGATATGGGCCTTGCGTATTACTGCAGGCAGAACATTGTAAATTTCTGCGGCAGGCGCTGGAGCGTTGTCAACGACACCACTCGGCTGCGGAGATCCTTGTCGCTATCAATGCACTCATTTCAAGACTACAGAGACTGCAGGCGCCTGTACATAGGAAGTTACACATGCTGGGGATTTACTACGCATGCCTTTCTTATTCTACAGCTGCCCTCGAACGACATCTGAGAGATTTACTTGCTATCAGCCCTAAGCGGTTGGGCCTGGGCTCGAGTGTCGCCCTGGTGGATGCGCTTTCCATGTCCATCCGATCCTTCGAGCTTCAAGGAGATCATCCAGATACCGGTTCTATGCTCAAACAAGTGACTGGCGAATCCGCTGTCGATGATGCCTTAGAAGTCGCTTTGCACCCTATATTGTTCTGGGCTGGACCTGGAAAACTGACGGACTTTATTGAACGGTATTTTAGAGTGCTCGTCAAGCTAAAGAGCCGTAAATTGCTCCATAGTGTATGGGGCCGTGTTCTGGGGCATTTGTCTGCCAAATCAGCCGATCACGATTTCCACATTGCCTATTCCTGTATAATGGCTCTGATTGTGGAAGGAGATGTCACGAGGGCCACCACGTATCTGGAAGAAATCTCAAAGCGCGCTGATAACGCCCTTCCTTATATATCACAGTTCAAAAATCTGAGTGTACTTCTCGCTAATCAAGAAGTTTGCGAGTTGCTATCTCGTCTCTCTGGCGAGGATGAATACCTCAAGATACTCGAAGTCCAACTCAAACACATGGAGAAGAGGCTAGGGATCAACTGGCTGCCCAAAAAATCTCTCCACACTTCTATATCTGACCTCAGTTATACTGCGACCGGACACCCACTTCTTACGATGGATGGAGACAGTACTGGATACGAAAGCAGAGAACGTTTGATTGCCGAAATGCACGCTTTAGGTTGTTCTGGATCGCTTTCAGACCTCACCAGACTTGCCAATTGCTTAGACGAGTATGGAGGTGAACAGATCCCGGTTATTCAATCATCCACTAAAAATACACCGCTAGAGCTCGCCTGGGTACCCCAACGCTGCCCGGTCGATGTTCTAGACTCTTCTGAAGTGAGATCTGGGGAACGCACGACGAACTCACCTTCCTCTCTAGGTTTGCTCCGGCTCGACCCTGAAAATGCCGAGTTGTCACCAACAGATACTCGCTCACTGCACCTGATGCAGCTGGGATATCTGATCATAAAGCTCAAAGCACCCAGTTCGGAGCACGAATGGAGAGAATCGGGCCATATAGTAGCTCTGGACCGCACTTCAGGCCAGCTCTTCGCAGTCTTTGTCGGGAAGGCTCAGGGCCGAATAAGCCCGGGCATCCAGTCGCATATGCCTCGAATACCAGTCAATCTCAATTCGATAGTGAAAATCCAACTGCGAAGCCATATGAACGGAACTCATCATAGGGACAATCACTCGCCGCTGGCATTGAATATCACCAAATGCTATCTTGATGTGGATCCATGTAAAGATTTGGTGATTTGAACGCGTGCCACTTGCTTTCTTTGGTTGCTGTCTCAGATCAGTTCATCACCGGTAAAGTACTCGAGCAAGGCGAGCCATGGTCTCAAACCCGCCCGATTGCCAAGTGTAAGGCTCATATTGGATCTACAAAGCTGTATTCCTTAAGGCCAGTGGCTAGTTAGCATTGGCTAAAAGAGCTGGATTAGGGAGGGTTCGGATCTCAACAGAGTGAGCTGCATCAGCCGCACAGACACATACCGATTATCAAGTGTGGCTTGAGACCTTCAAAGGCAGGATATCTCGGCGTGGCTGTAATGATGTGATTAGGTAGTCTTCCCCGCGCGACTTGGACAGTGATCAAGCATCGATGGAGCAATGGCGCGGACACCTGCCTGTCTGTCAAAATAGTATCTGGGACCCATCAGAGCCTGAGGCGCTATTTTAGCTGTCCCCATGCATCGGAAATTTGTCTTCTCACATTATCACGATTTGGAGCTTCTAATAATTCTGATCTACGATGATACTGAATATCTGATGGCGATAATGGTTTGTTCGTTATCCTTCCTCTAAGGCGCACTGAGCCGATTTATGAAGGAAGAAAAGAAAATTGACGCGTTCTCAATTAGTATATCTGGCTACTGGGTTTCTTCCCGCTTAAAAGCTGCAGTGCTTGGCTTACAATCTCGACCCTAGCGGGCGTGTGTACTTATTTCCGTATCTGGCAAGCGGGGCGTGCATTGTGGACGTCTTTCGTTTCCTAGACCCCTTGACGGCAATGGGCAGATCCTACCAGCGAAACACGACATTATCTCCTTATTTTCCTCCCGAATCACGGAACGGCTGGTCAGATTGACTGCCTCGAAAGACTCGGACTTGTTGAGGTAATGCACTGATCAAATGTGCGTCTTGTGCGGATTGTCAGCTGCTGTTCAACAGTATCACCTTGTTCTGGTCCGCTCAAGTATGTCAGCATTATCGGGATGAGGCCGCGACCGTTCCCTGGCAGCATTCAAGCATTCTGTGATTTTTGCCGGCCATGCTTGATGAGTTTGGTGCAGGTTGACGATGGTGAGCTACTTCCTCATTCGGACCCTTGCATTTTCACGACCAGGAATAACATGGCATTGCAGGAAGCACAGGGAATAATCCTCACGCGCCTGCGATAGCCCACGGAACGAGAGGCTCACTGCAAGCTCAAATGAGGCAAATTGGCTGGCGGAGTTACATGAGATTGATGCGTTCCAAATGCCGCAATGGTATGGAGGACGACTCTGGACAAATATTGACTCCGAATTTTGACTCTATGCTCGCTGCTCGCAAGATTTCCACGATCCCAGTGTGACCAGTCAACCATTACTGATATCGAGCACGGATCACGTAATCGTTGGATATACAGAATGCCTTGAATCCTTGGCTGCCAGGAGGATCGAATCAAAAGTGTGTGACGTATCAGCCACCACCCTAGGCAAAAAGGCAACCTCGCATTGCGTTAGTTCTCTTTGAGTGCATATCCCTGGCCTGGGAAGAGCGAATGCGAAATTCAAGGCAAAAGAAAATCATGATCGCCGTCGAAAACATGAAGTCGAGTGCCTGCCTTGCTCGAACTGCGCCTCATTTTCTCCAGCTGGAATGTTGAAACGATGTGATGCAGGCATGGGATCGTGCCTGGCTGTTAATTAAGGTAGGGCCGCAAGCAAATGAAGCGCCGAGTAGCTCCATCGTGACTTTGTCCCCGTCACTAACTCACTAGTACTATCGTTTCCTGGGTTTTGTGAAATGCGGGGAGATTGAACCACTTCAACCCGTTCTCTGCTATCGCGGTCCGGTCATTTGGAACCGAAACCCTCTACGGCCCGTTCTGGGAGCACATCTGGAGACTTGATAGGTTTCCAGTAAGCGAACCTCATTTCTTAGCCTTATATCGAATGCGTCAAACGACCTAGTAGAGCAATGCCATCAGCCCATCAACCATCTCTGAAGGTCCATTATTGGGGTCATTCCTGGATCTGATTTGCAGCCGCCGACGAAGCTTTTCATACCGATGCAGATCAGGAAGAAACAAGACGTTATTATTCATGTGTGTTGCAATACGGAGTATCCACTCGGCAGTGAGCAATGGGCACACAGATAAGTCCCGATACTAAATACCTCTCCACATACGAAGTAGAGAGTATCTACCCTTCAAAGAAGAATGCCCTTGATGGATCAGCAACTCGGTTACCTAGTTAAGGTAGGTCCTCTCCAACGACCGCCAACCAAGTGGGAAGGATTTTCCGACCGCTAGACTAGATTCTCGCCAGTCTTTGTCTCCTGATGACCTGGCACTCCCTACGGAGTATTCCATAATGGACCATCAATTCGCCAACCCATTTTTCCAAAGGCTTTGATGATTCAATCGAAAAGACGGTTGTGAGTTGCGACCAATCAATCAATATCCCATATGTGGCGTCCAGCGTCCTGGTTACACCAGATCTCACGTTAATTCCGGCTTCCATAGTACTATTACGAAGTTGATAGGTACTCTTTTGTCTATTCCCTAGAAACACTCGATACTGAACTGACTGGTCCCGTTGGCTTGCATAAGTTCTCCCACGGAAGAGTCCTAGACTCCCTGCTCCCTGCTCTGTTGTAGTGTTGTTTGCTCTCCGATTGTGGATACCTACAAAATAATACAAACAAATCAATGATCCAGCAACGGTCATTAATATTATTGTACGAGACCTCCGGCATACTGTCAGGGTTCAGGTATCAACTTCCATTGCAAGTTGCAACCCCTTTTCTGCCCTCACACATTCTCATTCTCATTGCCTACTGTATAACCTAGTCTAGTGTATCTCTGATCAGTTGCCTGGTAAGGTACTTTATAAAGGTAGACTCGCTTAATCATAAATCCCGGAACCTGGAGTGCTTCGCCGCACTCTATTAATTAGCCTTCCAGGATATCCACTTTGTAATCCACGGTTCCAGTCCCAGCCTTCTTTTGTTTGTTTCTTTGTTAGAAACTATCTATCTAAATCATAAGGATATCAATATTTATTAATATTAACCCTGGCCCACCCTTTCTTCCTCTACTCTTGGAAAACAGTGGGTGTACTTTTTCCTCCATCAGACTCGTATGTAATTTTAATTTTGATTATGATTTCTATCCTCTGCTCTTCCCAAGCCGCACTCAGACGCAGGAGACTTACCTTGTAATTCATCTGCCAGGGACGCACTGTTGTTGCCGTTGCATGGCTGGCTGTGCTTGTCTATTCGCTTTTCTTCTCGTCGACACATACAGGGACTCCGGCGGCAACTAGATACTAGTTACTATTATTACTTACCGACAAAACCGTCGGGAAGGTCCACCTGGCATCCTGGTTGCGTTGGCTCCATTTGATCCTCTACTTGAGCTGGGATTGGCTGATTTGAAGTTGCTCTACGGTGTTGTTCATCCCAGGGTCAGTAGTACCTACTAGGGGTCTACGCCCACTCATCCTTCGGAGCATCATCAGCCTCTCTCATTCGGCAAGCAGACGCTTGTCCTTTGCTGATTCGACTCTTTCGTTTCAGGCCCTTGTATTCTGTTGCCTTGAACATGCGTCTTTCAAACTCTCTCTAATAATAATCTAGAGGTGGGGAGCAGCTGCACCTTACAGCCGTGGCCAGCACGTCGTCGTCTTCGTCGTGGGAGAACAACGTATATACAATTATCCGTGCTAACCAACATACTCAGATAGATTCGACATTATTGATACACAACGAAGGACCTTCTTTAACTTGTCACCTTTTATTGTTCCAACTGAACCAAGCTCCACGGTCTATAATTGTCTTGCGTCCCGACCTTGTTCTCATCAACGCGCAGCATCCAGCTATAGGCAATAAATGTTTCCTGGTCTTCGCAGAACGGCATCATCGGTTTGCTTCTCTGCACCAATCAGGATATCACTCAAGCCCCTCGCGCAGTCAACCATATTCTCCAACCGCAATCAGTCTCATTCACGGATGCCTCGCTTCCTTGCATATCGCTGGACCTCGCCCTCTGCCTTCTTCTAACACGCAGTGAACGGTTACACGGAGGAGGCAAAGGAGGACAGTCCCCTCGAGCACCGGTGCGGTTCTGCATAGATGTCAGACACGCCGTTTCAACAATGGAACTATTCCACTTCCGTCAGCCGCTATCTCAACTCGAAAAGTTCCGCATCCTTCAGCGAACGGGGCGAGGTGACGCCAGATCCAGCTTCTTCCTACTCTAAGCATGAACCGCCGCCGCCGTTTATCTTTCAAGGCACTCAAGGCTACGATCCGCCAGTCGTCTCCACCGCGATCGACTCCCGATTCTCTTCTTCTGTCCACCCCTGGGTCGGCGGCGCCGAGCAGAGGTATAACGACGCCTCTGCCAGTGCTGGTTCCTTATCACAAATAAAAGTACTGCGGAGCGGTCAGCAAAGGCGAGCGGATCAGTGGGATAGTATCGCCCCTGCCAGTGCGGATTCCATAGGCCAAATGAAAATGCGATGGAGCGGTCCACCAACAGATGGAGATTACTCCCAGTTTCCTCACCATGGGGTCTCAAATCACAGTCATGGACAAATTTCTGTTAGCCCCAGTGAGCACACAAGGGACGTCGATTCTTGGTAAGTCGTCCGCTCACTCAATACTAAAAGAGATGAGGGGGGAAGAGCGAGAGGGATAACTCAATGTGCATGGAGATATCTCCCGCACGGCTCCTGTTTCAATCATTCATCACCGGCAGTGCTAACCAACTACTTTCCGTATAGTAACTCCACGAGAATCCCCAGTCCTGTTCGTTCTGACCGCAGCTCAGCAGCGCTTAATGGCAGCTTAAATCTGTCACAAGCCCTACCCCCGCAACCGCCGCGACAAGTCTCGTCAGGCATCCCGATGGGGTTCGATCGGTTACTCAATCATTCTCCAGGGCCTTCGCCGCCCCCAAGACGAGTGTCGGCGTCCCCACGTTACCATCTGCACATTCGACAACAACCCATAGCTGCTCGGGCTTGCGGTGCTGGCGATAGAGA